TTTTTTTTTTTTTTTTTGTATCTTTCTTCGCGAAATTCTCTCTCATTCTTTATTTTCTCTCACTCACACTTCTGTTTCGCTACAACTTGGTCCACGACTCTGGGAGTTAATGATTCGAAGTGAAACGAAATTTAAAGGATCGATCGAAGGGATGCAAACTGAATGTTGTAGAATTATGGATGGTGAAAAAAATGGGAAATGATTGGGTTATGTATTTAGGTGTGTGTATGTGTGTGTATGCAAATGTGAAATATGATTTGAGAACGAAATATCGTATGCATGATCGATATGAGATCTCGTCTCGTACGCGTTTAAATACATACATACGTACATATAAATGCTATATTACATTATATATAATCACGTATCCACGGTATATCAAAATATGTAAAATATATTTTGACGTATCGTGTGATCGATGTATCATTTATAGAAAATTATATATAACATAACATAATATAAATATACGCACGTTCGACACCATATTGTGTGCATAAAACTCTTGCAACAAATGATTTAATTCGTTGACGTTATTCGATCATAAGTACGAGAGAATATTGAGAAATCATATTAACCAGAAATAAATCTCAATGTCAAGAAGAACGTATTTAGTAATTAATGTAATGTATCATAGTTATCGCTACTTATCACCACTTAAGAACAACGATGAGTTTTCATTTCCTTATCTATATAATATACATCGTGGAAATCAAATCATCCTGTTTCACTATCAATCGCGATTTCAGATCAAAATTGAATATTTTATATATATATAAAAGATATTTAATTGTATTATATTTATTCTATCATATGATAAAGAGATACATATTTGATATTTTCTCTCGAACTTACAATCGTTTCAACGACTAACGTTATCCAATGATATTCTATGATTAAAGATTAACTTAACGATAAGCGTCGCAATAATAAGAAACGATCGTCACAATGAATAAATCCGCCGCAGATTCACTAAATCACCGTTCTTTGCCGATTCTCTCTATTATTTACAACACGTTACACTTTATACATTTATATTTATGTATATGTATATACATATGTATATATATATATGTATAGTATGTATATATTTATACATATTATGTATGTTCTCATCTCATGCTCAATTGCGTCTACATCTTTCTTGTCATGTGTGTGCTTATGCACCCACGTACACACAAATAACATAATATATAATATATATATACGTATATCGATGATTCTTAGCATACGGCGATTACAATTACAAATTTCTACGTATGTAAATTCCTTCAAATTATTATTTACCGACGTAATCACCATTTTTTTTCGTTTTATTTATTCCTTTCGTCGCAACAAGATTATAATCTTTAATTAATTAGAAGAGGGAGAATTCATTCGTCGAAGAATCGATTTTCAGGCTTCCAGGATGAAAGTTCACGCGCCATAAGTCACGTGGGCGTTTTTCAAACGCGAAAATGGCGGGAAAGCGAACTTTCGAATCAAAGAAACCATCGATATCGACTCGTACAAACATATACGTGGAATAATTCGCTGATAAAACTGTCTCTATATACCGTATGTACACGTACAGAACGTATCTACAATTGCTAATCTTCGTGTCTGTCCAAAAAGCAAAGAATACGAGCGCGCTCTTGTTCATCCCCTTAGGAATCTATTTTTTATTTACTTCTTCTTCTATTTTAATTAAACGTCACACATATTTGACGATTAAGCATGACGATACTTTGGCTTGAGTGATTATGATTCGTCGTAAAATCGATCGTCCAAAGATCTTCGACTTCTTCGACGATGAAGATGAATGAGCCCATTCCTCGTATTCCCTTCGATTCTCCCTTCTTTTTTTTTTTTTTTTAAATTTATTATTACGCCTCGTGCACATTTCTTCCTATATGTACAAACTCAGGACACGGATATGTATGACGACAGACACGCAAACGTGTGCGTAATTATATACAAACGTATTGTCGGACCTCGCCGCATCTTTGCCAAATGCAAGGCTGCTTAAAACTCGAAGATCGAAAGTTCGTCTGATCTTAATTACATTCGATAATTATGTTCGATGAAAATAAACGCTATAATATCCATAAAATCTAATTAAACCAATTAATTTTAGAAGAAATCATAATCTATCTCATTCGGTTATCGATGTTTAAGTTTAAGTTTCTTCGATGGCAGTGAATATTCAAAAATTTTTGCGATGTAATTCTGTTTCAATACAAGCAATACACCTTTCGATCCTGAAGATTCCCTTGCAAGTGGCATGTAAACCCTGCTTACCACGAAGAAGTGAAAACTTTGAAGAGCGTTCGCCATCCTCGAAAGAACCGCCTCGATCAATTCAATGAAATGGCATAAACGGAAGGTTTATCGTTCCTCCAACGTGTACTTTTTCGTTGTTCGTTGTTATTTCAATCGTGTGTTCCGCCGTGATTTTACTCGAGAAGGAATTCGAGAAGTATCTTGTCTTTCTTTATTTCACAATCTCGAAAAGTTGATAGAATTCTTTGAAATTGTGAAACAATATAATGCAATATGTAGTCGAAGCGACGTTGGATCACTCGATAGATAAAAGAAAACTCGAAAAGGAAAACCAATCGATAATGATACGTATCGTCGAATAGTTTCCCCTTGATGAATATTTCATGATAATTCAAATAAGTCACAGAAATTAATTAAAATTTTAATGTTATCCGTTTGCTGTATATCATATTAATTATAAATAAACGTTGAACGGCGGCAACGATCCTGTACCACATACTACGCAAAAACGAGGACTTCAAAGCTGTTTCGTTGTATTTTAATTCTGAGTCGAAGTTGAGCCGCATTATTTTTCTAACAATAATCACATTAATTCTGACAAGCTTCGAAGTCTACGTTCCACATAATTTCAATCAAAATTTCGAAGATAATACTGTGAGAATAATACAAAAAGTATTATTTAACGAAATACGAAAATTAAAATTGTCGAATGTGTTCTACCTTCTATGTATTTTTAAATAACTATCTAAAAGTCTCTCGTCGACGTTTCATCTTTCTCCTCAACGTCTCTTCACGATTCGTATACTCTTCACGAGATACCTTGAATGATATTCAAGGAAACCAATGATATTTTCTTCTCCGGCAAATGTTCCTCTTCTCTCCCCATCCTCTTCCCAAATGAACCTCTTCCAAAGACTTCTTGACATCAGGATATGTTTTTCTTTGAATCGTATCATGCCGTCTTCATCCACTCCACTCACATGGCCCTGTATTGCTCGAACCCGTCGGTTCCATCGCGCCAAATTCCCTTTGGCAACGAAATCTGTGGCGGGTTTTCGCCAAATCGTCGCTGAACCATCGCCAGCGATTGGCCACCCAACGGATTAGTGATAGAACTCGGGTAGATTGCACAAACGTCGTTGCTGTTGCTGCTGCGATTGTTGATGCTGTTGATGAAAATGTGTATCCCCTGGATGGGCGGGCTGTTGGTGTCACTCGTGAGACTTGCCGCTAAGTGGATGGTAGTTTCCACCTGCTGATGCGACCAGGGCAAGAGGTAAAGGTGAACCGAGGGGTGTGGGATGGGAGTGAGAGTGGCCCATGCCCGAGGAATGCGTCGTGAGCGCGAGAGGGCTTCCTGACATGGAGCTCGCAAGTGATGCGAAAACCGATGGTGCTGGGGACGCCATTGTTGGGCTACCCATCGCCGCTGTTGGTGGATTGATCCTCTTCTCTTTTTGTCGTCTGTAATGGGATAAAATATGATTAATAAGTATATTAAGAAGAAGAGGAGGGATTACTTAAAGTTTATTTCTAATAATTTCAAGGAGAATTAATGAAAACTGTTTATAAAATTATTGTTTTTTGATAAAATAATAATAACAATACACTACCTTACAGATAATCTTACCTATTGCAAAACCACACTCGAACCACTTCCTTTTCCATGGCCAAACTGTCTGCTAATACAGTAATTTCTTCCGAGGTGGGTTTTGGATTTTGTACGAAAGCTTTCTCCAGTGCCACCCTCACGCTTGTTTCTATCGATGTCCTTTTTTTCCGCCGCCTACCGATGGCTTCCGGGGTTGTGAGCGGGTTCGAAAGTGAACCGGGATTGTTCAATGAGTTGTCTGCATCCTCCAGCCATTTTTGTAGGAGGGGTTTCAACTTGCACATATTTTTGAAGGAAAGATTTAACGCTTCGAACCTGATGAATATATAACAATTGATCGTTAATAATAATATAAAATCGTTAATATAATATAAAATAATAATATAAAATCGTAATATAAAACTGTTTATCCTTTTAATTGTCAGAATTATGAAAGATACACACCTCGAGATCGTTGTCTGGGAAAAATCGTTTCCGTAAAGTTTTCCCATGGCGAGGCCAACGTCGCCTTGAGTGAAACCAAGCTTGATCCGCCTCTGTTTGAAGGTTTTGGCGAACTGTTCTAACTCCTCGAGGTCCGTGGTCTCTTCCGGCGACGGTTCCAGCCTTGGAGGTGGTTGTTTCACAGCTGGAGGTGTGCCAGGAGGCGGAGGTGATCTTTGTTGGGTTAAACTTCGACCAACTAGGCCTCCGCTTCCTTGAACAGCCTGCTGCTTCTGGAGAGCTTGCAGTTGTTGGGCTGCCTGCACCACTGCTTGCTGCACCTGACGACACGCGATTAAATTTTTCTTTTTTTTCTTTTTTTTTTCTATTAAGCATATAGATGCACATCAAACGATTACGT